TGTCGCAGTTCCGGAATTTACCCACTTGTTTGAATTCCCGAGGGATGCGACAGCAGGAGATTGACTGTACATTAAGATGGTCTTCACATCGATAACGAAACATGGGAGGAATCTAACTCTTAACATATGTAATTATTATATCGAGATTCAGGTGCAGCTTGCGCAGATCGTTCGAGGAAGCGCTTTTATTAACTTAATAATGATTACCATGCATTATTCTAGCAATAATAATCTTCATCCTTGGGAAGCTTAACAAGAAAAGCCCACTCGTACATCGCTTGACCTAGAATGGGCCACAAAGGCACACTGTGCACAGGTTTTCATGGTTACAATCCGATTTTATATAAATTACGGAGCTAAATTAAACTTTGACCTCGTTCTTGCGATCTAACTTTAATCCCCATATACGATGTGGACCTAATTTAGTAGGTTACTCATAAGTAGTCGTACGTTGATTTGAAACGTCAGTGTTTTAAATAAGTTCTGATGATTGAGAGTAAAATTAAACATCTGTTAAATGAGCCATAATTTATCAAAAATTAAAACGATGAGATTTTACCAGATGGGATAAATTTAAGATTTAATAAATTCTGAAAAAACATCTTTTAACTTACAATAGCTGCATGCGTAAATTTCCGTGCACATTGTTTTTTGTTCTCGTATTGTTAATTTGAACCGAAATTTATTTGGAATTTCAACTCATGATAAAAATTTTAAAATTAGATGTATCTCCTTGATAAGGTGAGGCGTTTTTCAACATAACTTGTGTCCGTTCGGAGAAGGAGTGAAGCAAAACACCTACCAGAGCAAAGTCATTTCGCGCCATCTCACGAAACGCCTCGAATTGGTGATCTTTTGATAAGCCGGTGAAATTTGGGTTGGGAAAAATATCCGTCTCATTCACCACAAGGAATGAGGCCGCGGTGAAACTAGGCGTGGCGGTTGATTGATTACGCAAACTGAGCAATGAGGATAATGCCCATAAAGATCCATCGTGGTAGTTCAGACCACCTATTAACTAAAAACCAGAAAGAAGAAACAAAGTATTCTAATCATCCATTTAGGTAACCTTTTCAGTGCGATTAGGAATTAATTAACGAGGTATATGCCTAAAGATTCATCTAAGTGTAAACGGCTTCAATTTACGGAAAATCTCTTTTATTCCAATAACTTCTCCCTTGCGATGCCGAGTCCGTCACCTCCTGGATTTGATGCAGTACAAAGTACGGAGCATAGAACTTATCCACCAACACAATGGATTAGTTGGGTAAAGCCGGAATAGCGCAAACCAATCAGTTTACCATATTTTCGCGAATTATGCACCGATCATACCAATAACAAAGTTTATTAAATAAGTAAAGCACCCTTGAATAAAGAAATTTCTCGCTGAGTGAACATCCTGTGGGGCGTATATGGCTAAATTTATAATCAGTTTATACTCTGGAGAGATAATATCGTAACCCACCTGATGTGCCCTATTAACTATAAAAAAATTACAGCTGAAAAGGAGGTTTTATTAAACATTTCTTTTTAAAAATATGTCACATGAATTTTTATATCCCCTTATCTCCTTCTCTTTTTGCGTCATTGTATCATAATCACGAGGTATGCGTTTCCGTATTTTTGATGAGCTTTGAATCTATTGAACACGATGTCGTGCGACCGTCTGATTTTTGCAGCGCATCATCAGCGATCCACGAGAACAAGTAACTGTAAAATCATGATTTCTGGTACAGTTCAGTTTGTGGTTTGACCGAATCCCACCACCATAATTGTTGGGATAGTTCAAGATCTTCTGAAATATCAAGTTTTTTGTTGCTCAGAGTAAAGTAGAATCAACCCAAAAAATGAAAGTTACCCGCAATAGAATTTTGCGACTTTCGAACTAGCCCTGGTCAAATGGAAAGGACTAGAACACTGTGCCCATATCCTTTTGGCTGTGTCACCTTCAAGTATGTTAAAGATTCGATTACTTTCCTTCTGAATCGTTCTCTTTGGCTTTTTGCCTCTCACTGTCCTCACTCATCGTTCATACTTCTTTGACTATCCAACGAGAGTATTGTGTGGTTTGTTCTAACTGTTTGAAAACACCCGTTGAAAGCTCCAGTTTCGTGTGTATTGTATCTCTGCCTATATTGTTGTGCATTGTCACATATTTGTTTAAATTGACTGAAAGCGTTAGATTTGTAAAATAATGTTTGTATAAGGCTAAACAAGGAAAACAAAAAAAATACACGAATATATGATCTTGAAGTTTTGACGCTGTTGCGATCTACTGACCTAGAAATGCCCGTTTTTGGTTCTCTTTCGTCGCGGTTTTTCTATACACCCATTTGATAATCTGATGGTATGAGAGAGCAAAGCATATTTTTTTCTTATGACACTGGGATCAAGTTTTTTTCGAGACCATTCTGTTCTTACCTGTTTTTCTTTTTAGCACAGGATTAGTTCTGATTGACGGTTTGAAAAACTGATTATGGTTTCTAACTGGCTTCGTTTTGGTGCGAAAAACTCAGTTCAGCCAAACCCGAACCAAGCTCGAATTGGACCTCATTAGTGATTCGTTTACACCGGCCCGTTCTGGGTTTGAACTCTGAGTCCTTTGTATCAAAGATATGCATGAGCAATGTGATATACGATAGCAGTTTGAATATTTTGTTCTACTTTAAGAATTGATAATCATCCTTTAAAAATTTAATCTATTGAATCAATATTTTTACGATAAATTATCAAAACGATGATGCATAAAGAAAAGCTACCAGAATAGGAAAGTTGAGCGACAGTGGCGAAATTCTAGCGTACCGGTCCGATAAACGGCTATAGTGCGATCGCACTAACAACGTCACAGCAATCGACAGATTGATAAAATATGCATGTTCATGGCTCGTTGTGAGTTGTCTATTGATGAACCAATTGTATTTATTTCGCATAAAGATTCAGTCAAAGACAAAATAGATTAAGATCTGTCAGTTGCTTATTTCTGAGCATTAAAGAATGGTGAAGGGCCTACCGATGGCCCACGGACCCCTTAAAATTATCGAGTTTCGTTTAAGCTCCACAATCCCTAACATTAAACAAAGCTTTCCAGTACGAATGACTCACTTAAAACCCTTTCGGGTTTCAAGTGTCTTTGTGATCGCCAAAACAGAGAACCAATAAATCTATCTGTGACAATGTCAAAGATGACGAGGCTAGATTTCCTGATTTGATCAACCATTCCATTATCACGTTGACTGGACTCGTTATTAATCAAATTCCTAAATGTTGGGTTTGATTTTGAATGGAGCCAATGCATATACACACTCAGACCTCAGTCTGATAATAACCGAGGCAAAATCATCAGCTTTTTTGGCACTCTCCCGAAATACCATCACTGACACATATAACTCTATGCATTCCGAATACTAAGACTCGAATTGTCATAAACAGTATGGTTCTACTCAGAAGTATGTAAATTTGTGATAACAACCTTGATCGGTGCATGAACTGCANGATGTTAAAAACGTGCTGACAGAGTGAGCATAAAAGCGTCGCAATCCTCAGTCGAATCGAGAAGAATTCGGAGTATCGACAACGATAAGCGTATTTAGAAGAGCAAAGAGATTAGTCAAACCGCAGCCTGATGAGGCAGAAGCGTCGGTCGGTACGGACAGTTGGGGAACGTGGGAAACTGCTCGGCCTACCCGGGGATATCTGTCACGTGATAATGTGGACCTTCGGGTAGGCAATGCGGGTATGTGAGACATGATGTAAAGCGAACCGGGGAAACAGCGAAAATAACTGTGCCGGAAATCAGGTTTGTGAGCTAAAGTAGTGACGGAACACAACGCGAATTCGGCAACCGCAGGAGAATTGTTCGCCTATGGTCAGGATAATGATAAAATGAAGCGATTAAACTCCAGGAGAACAGCATGGCTCTGCTCCCCATTCTATGTGATAAAAATTCCCATTTGGCAATATGAACCAGTATGCGACTCAAACGAAGATATTTCGTCAGAAAACCGTCACTCAATGCTGCTAGTAATTCTCCATTTAATGCATGGCGGCTTCCATTGAATGCAGTAACTTTCATCACCATCGATCACATGTTTGTTTTTATACCAAAGAGATGGAAGAACAAAGATGCTTTGTTTCTGAAATTCGGTCTTTAATTTCTTCCAACTGATTTCCGTTTCCACTTTTAATAACCCAACATCGATTGTTAACTAAACTGGATTACCTATTTGGTTACCGTAGCAACTCACCGGAATCTGAGCGAAGTTTCCTTTTTCCCACAGCACTTTGGGATCATCTTCAATAAAATCTCCATCCACAGTTGGTGCCCAAGCTTTCGTTCGCCAGTTCGGTCGATGAATTCTCGTCTGTCCAGCAGCAGTGGCCAATTCAGATGCTGTTCTTGCGCGTAAGCAATCTAGCATTTGACGTCTCGAGGCAGCATCACAACCTACCTGATAAAGAAGAAAAAAAGAATTTTTCAAAAAGCACAATTTGCAATCCAGTTCTTTTTGCGGTAAGGGGAAGTCAACATGGGGGTGACAACCGAAAGAAAACACAAGTTCGAAGTAATATGAATTACATCATCAAGTGACAGGATTATTTGCGTGTGTGCATGTGTTGTGGATATTAATTTGGTCATACAGCAAGCAGACAGTGTTTATTTATTTATTTATTGTTTATTGTGTTCAAAGTTCTACTGGCATTTCACTGAATCCGAGGTACTCAGATATTAGTCCATTATTTGAGGCAATAGTTGGATCATGTTTCAGTTCCTCTGCTGGCTAGATCCCACAAAACTTACTTGGGTAAATATAACTGAAAGTCAGTGTTTCAAAATAGTCAACTGGATTTTTGGTATCACTCGGTGCGCGACGACACTTCCCCTTTGTGTTGTTTGTTTTTCCACATTTCGATTTATCAAATTTGTGTAAACTCATCCAATAACCCTATTCCACAGGTTTAATTAACCACGGGTAACAAAAGAATGGGGTTTTATTTTGCTTTCAACATCCACTCACGGAACTAATGGAGGTAATGGATTTTTTGATTTCTTTTTCATATTGGAAAGCTGCTCATCGAGTCCCCAAAACAATGCTCTCAGCCAGTGACCCAATAGGACTCAGATCAACGTTGTTTTCCTCCGCTACATCTAGCCTTCCCCTTGCATGTGAGAAAAAATTGGACGTTGGACCGAATTAGCTGATACTATGGTGGCCCGTTTGTTTTTATACTTTTCTAATCTCCGTTATTAGGTGCATGCAATTGGAGAGTCAGACTGTAGAAATTTTCCGCGGTTTTTAAGGTAAAACCTCAACAACGTATCCAATCAAAGTTAAATGAATCGATTGATTCGCACTTTTAGCCTCATTCAACCGAAAGCATTTCATTAAGGCCTGCATTTTCTCTCATCAGTTCTCTGGGTTCTCTGTTGCCTTCTTCACGGCCCTTAAAATCATCGATAGACCCGTCAAATACGCACTCACTCATGCGTTCCTATTGATAGTCCAATCACGCGAGGCAGTTATTCATGATAGACATTGAAAATCACTGTTACAGGCTGTTTGTCCGTTAACCATTTCAACATAACATTAATCCGTCGATATATGCTCACTTAACACTCTACAATCCGGTTCTGCGCAGCAGTGTTCTGATTTCTCGTATTGGTTTACGGGCCCAAAACAACACGACACATTCGCATTGATATCGGAAGTGGGTTTTTTTTCATCAACTGTCTTTGTAAGTATCCGCATACCTCTTGGGCACCTTTTACAATATGCCTTAGACTAGTAATATAAAGCCTGTTGAAAACTTTGTCCAGTAGATCTTACCTGACTGTTCTCACCTCCTATATGGGGACCTTACTAAATATCGCCCTTTATCACCCACCCGTTCACATTATAACCACGGCTATGAAAGAATTAGGGCACAAAAACTTATTTTACT